AAGAATACCGTTTGCTCGCTGTATGTCATTAATAAAAACACTTTCTTCACTTTTCCAGGGCCTGCAATTCTATCTTGAGGCAGGAGATGGTCAAGCAGGAACAACAAACAGCAACGCTACCAGTTCTAATAAAACCCTTTCTTGGGGCAGTTGAGCATCACCTCAAGAAAAAAAAGCTTTTTCTGAGCAATCAGCTCCTAAAACAGCGCAAACTTTTAACAAACCACTCATTGACATTACTTTATTCATAAATAAGTTTCTGCCTTGTCAGGCACCATATGGGGTCCTTCCCTTTCTCTAGAAGACAACTTTCAAAAGATCAGCAACAACACTTCAAGTACCAACTGATTGGTCATACAATATCAAGAAAGTTAGGAGGATGTCAAATTTTCAATTTTGATACCACAAAAATAATTTATCTAGTCATTCAGGTTAAGATTAACTCTAAAACATTTTTTTAGATGGAATAACTAAAGCAGCATTATTTTTTGCTATTTAAATGAATTGGTTTCATGTGATCAAAAAAATCTCCAAAAACAAGTGCCAGTTCTTGGTACTAGGTCAAAGATTTTGCAGATTATTAGAAAGAAGTGAAAATTATGCTATGATGATTAAGGATAAAACAGTCATGCATATTCCAGGTATTCTAAAATATCTATAAATTTCAGATTTAAAAGATATTAAAGAGGATTTAGCTTCTTACTGTATGTCTTAGGTAGCATCATAACAGGAGAATACTATGTAAGACAGAGAGTGTCTGAATTGCACTATCTGTAGTTTGCAATGTTTGTCAACACTCTAGAATTTGTGTACAATGAAAAAAGTGACACTATTTTTTTTCACAATTGCAATTTCAGTCTCACGTTTCTAGTATTTGTCCTGCTTTGTTGAAATAATTGCAAAAAGTTGGATCACTGAAGGTGCCTACTATGCCAAGGTGTACCTCTTGGCATCTGGCTGACATCTGCTGTTATTCAGGAAGCTCAAATAAAATTTTATATGAAGTCAAAACTTCTATTGTTCCAAATACTTAGTATTGATTCATTTCCCACACATGGTTGATTTTGAAGTCAGAATGTGACAAACTGCTTGGTCTGAGACATGAGCCATGAATAAAACTATTCATATGAAGAATTTCAATGTAATTCACTAAATAAAGAGTATTTAACAACCCCTAAATATTGTCTTTCTTATTCTACATCGTAGTGAAAACGATTGTTCTCAACATTTACTCCCATTATTACACCTTCATTTATGAGTTTTACAAGTTTTCCCAGCAGATGTGCAGCTTGAGCATACTCAGGAGATAAGCATGCACTTCTTAAGAGAAAGGCAAATGCAATGAGGAGAAGAAACACATCAGCTATGAGACAGAGAGAGGGTTACTGCTGCTTCATTAGCAAGACACCATGAGTATTTTGTGTTTGTCATCTGCTTCTGTGAGCATGTATGCCACCTGTTCCTGAGGGGGTACTGATACAAGAGAGCCAGGCTTCTAAAAATTATTGGGGGACCAGGGAATCCTTGGAGGACAAACTAAAGCAAATTCCACACACCACTGCAAAAACTCCACCCAAAATAGCAATATTATCTTCACACAGCTGTAGCAATGAGTGTGTCAAGAATCAAAAAACACAGGACACCTGCCATGCATGACTAATGTTTGCTGATAAATTTAGTAAATTTTTAATCTTAGAACATGACAATATGGAAACATACAGTATTCTGAGCAAAGAAAAAAACAATAGAGCAGATAAGACCTTTACAAATCATTAAGCAAATCAAATCTTTGAAGTGCTTTGCTATCTAAGTATCCTATCAGAAAGGTCAAAAAGCATCAGAAAGAGGAAGGTGATTGACAGAATATGTCAGTCTCAGAAAGCTACCTCAGACCATACAACACACATTCAAAGTTGGAGAAGACTGTAAGAGAGAGATGACCAGAATTTCTGGTATCCATGCAACCATTGTTATAGCATTCACATACTCCCATTGGCACACTGTGATTAACAGAGCAGCGCATTAAGGAAAAAGTTGCAATCAGGTTACGTGAAGAGGACTGAATATCCCTGCTGATTGCAAATGACAGCTGATTTCTTCAGTCAGGCCTGCACTTAGAAAATGCACTGTCTCAGAGGGTAGATAAGCTCTCCTTGGAAGCAGGAGGGCCAAACTCAGTGCCAATTTTTTCCCATCCCATACACAAGCAAATCAACATAGTTCAATTAAGAGTTTACAGTGACCCATCACCACAAGATCTACAATGTGATATTACAAACATTCTTCAGGCCTACATATATATCATTAACTCCCTACTAAGTCAAAAAGTGCTCACCAAGTATTACACAGTACCAGAAAACAAAGCACACACCTGCAGGGAGAGAGACATCTGTACACTCATGCTGGCTTTGAAATGAACTATTTCTGATGCTCTACTACTGTAAAAAGAAGGGCTAATAAAGAAATGTAGTGCCTGACATCTGTTTTCTTTGACAAGTCTCAAGTAGTCTTGTGCCCTTGATATCCACATTCAGCTGGATATCTATTAACCATCATTCATATTCCTAATAAACTAACACTGCTCAGTATATTAGAGATTCATAAGTAAGTAAATGAAGATCAGTTTCAAGAACATCACTTCAGGATTCTCTTTCACTGACACTGTTATGGTCCTGGACTTGTGGAAATCCTTGACCATCAGATTCACTTTTCCATTTCCTGTATTTTCTGAAAAATAGCACTTTTGTTCCCTTTTTCCTCCCTCTTCAAATGTATTGTTTTCACCACTCTGAGCCCTCTTTTTCTTTGCTCCAACAATATTCCAAACAGAAAGAAAGGCCACCTTGAGTAGTGAATCCTGTCTGTGTTCCACAAGAGACAATGCCGGTAGTGTCTCCAGAAAAGCTATTTAACCACAGACCATAAAATACTCCTGTTCCCAACACCCTTTAGTCCTCTACAAACTTAAAAGCCAGAAGTGAATTGCTGAAGCCATAGCTAAAACATCCCAGAGGAAAAAAAAGCAGGAGACAATAAAGACAGTCCTTGATGTCTTCAACTCCCTGCTATCACAGGAACATAATTAGATTCAACTTTCAAATGTTCGTAGATAACAGACCACGTCCATGTTACAGGAAACATCCACCACTCTTAGCCATTCTTGTATGAGGAAAATTCCTTCTTGACCTCAAGTCTGGCCATGGCTTGAACACCAAGAGCATGTCCATTGATTTTTAATCAAGAGGTTTTTATATCACCGAGACTTAGGCCAGACTTTGAAGTTTTGCATTTTTTGCTGTTCTCTCCTGACACAACTGACTCCACCAGAGCCTAATTCAAGCCAGGAAAGTCTGTAGAGTTTTTTTCTAATTTCACACCAAGCAAACAGGTTTTAAAGAACTTCCCACAACCTCATTTTAATTTTTAAATTACTTTATACCGAAAAGTAAACATAAGATACTCCAAGCCAGATGGAAAAAGTGTTCCACTGATGACTTAACAAAACCACCCTATAATATCAGTGTCCAGTCAACTGGTACCTCATAAGCTTACCAAGTGATGACATGAAACCCACCAGCCAATGCTATCTAAAATCAAATACACATAATGCTTTCCACCTACCATGCTAAATACCAGGGGACATATCAGCATTTTAATGGAGGCCACATTATGTCATAAATGACAGGCTGTGCTTTGATACATATTAAAAAGTACAATTTGGAGAACTGAATTAAAAATACAGTGCACAACTCCATGGAACTGGCCAATTCCTAGACATTGAGCTGGCAAACTATGTCCAAGGAATTTAATAAACCTTTCATATTCTGTGATGTTTAAACATACAAGTCTGTGGGGTTTTTTTGGTACTGGAAGTTTACTATCTCAAAGTAAATTGTTTTCCAATTGCTCATCGCTGTACATCAATATAATGCTCTAAACCATCACTTTTGATGGTTGATGATGATAATGATAATACATTTTAAATTCTTTGACTAAGCTACTTGAGTAATGACAGAAAGATCGGACCTTTCCAAACACAAAAACACAATGAATCAACATGTGTCATCAACAGAAATGGCACAAACATCACTTAATGTGATCACATAAAACACATCAATCATTCATCTGTAAATCCATTTCATCATATCTAATCCAAAACTCTGCAAGTATTAACAGCTAGCCACAGAAAAAATAGTATTTTAGCAACAACCTATCATATCACAAGAACTAGTAGTTACAGCTTTGTTAGAAATCTTTCTGATCAAAATTTAAACTTATCTTTCAGTTTATGGAATTCAGAAATTTCTTGATGATTTAACTAACAGGTTGATTTTAACTTGTTGATTTAACTAACTATTCAATCTAAAGTAAGGAAAAAGCATGTAAGTGACTGACTTACCTTATGTTTTTTAATTTATGGTTGATAAATCTATTCTTCCAAGAGCAGCTCCTCCAAAACACACAATTTCAGTTCCAACAACAAAACCAGAAAAGAGACAGCCTTTTCTGACACATTTACAAATATACTAACATGATTTTGACATTGACTTTGTGAAGTTTCATAAACTTCTCAGATTGAAGGAAAGCATCATTCTTTGAACTAGAAATTAAAACTAAGTCACACTTATACTGGATAAATACTTAATATCTTAAGGAAAAAAAGATTATTAACATAATGATATTGCTATTTTAGAAAGACAATTCACAAAATAGTCATTAAAATAACTTTGTTAACAAAAAAATGACAAGTCCATGCTTCAAAACATTAGAAACAGGCAAAATTTCAGCACTTAATCTATTGTTTATTTAATTTAAAAACGCTGGTCTTCATTTGAATGCTCTTCTATGGGTTTAAGTTCCCTAAAGGCAACATCATCATTAAAAAACCCAAATACATTCCTTATAATAATCTGAAAAAAAGAAAAGACCCCATGAATACCATATCTGTAGAACTGCAAGGGAATGTATATGCCTTAGAAACCATTTGAGTGAAAGGATACAAGTTTTGGTATAATGGGATTAATGATTTCAATGCACGGCTTGCATTTATAGCTGTTGCACGAACCATAATAGGCAGAATCTTTCCATTCACAATAGCACCATCAAAGAGTGGACCAAAAAATGGAACCTGAATAAAAAATTAAGAAGTTCAACATAAAGCAAGACAAGATCGTAGCTATAACAATTAGCAATCAACATTAACAATAGAGCACTCAAATATATGTCTTTTTCCCTCCTCATTGCTAGATAATCAAACCAGTTATTGTGTTGCAAGTCAGACCTTTTCTCTTGTGGAAATATACAGCCATATAACTGCTTGATATCCTTGGCAACAGATAACACAGCATTTGAAAAAAATTAAGTAACTATTTGAATGTCTCATCAAAGATCATTTCCAGCATTTGCTGCAAAAATCCTAGGAACAGTCATGCATATAATGTTTATGAGGTTGATAGGCTAGATGATAATATTATAAATGGCAAGAAGCAAAAGAAATAATTACTCAAAATCTAAAACATTTTTTATCATGGCTCCAGTTATTAACATGTCTATAAGGATCAACCCAGGGTAAAAGTGGCATACAGTTATTGGTGTATTGACCCTCATCTTCTATTTTTTTTCTTCTGTTCTTCTTCCTTTCTATATTATCTGAACTAAAACACTGTAAGCCCTTTACAGAAGAAATCTGTGGTGGAAGTTTTGCCTCTTTGGAGCCTAAGTGTAAAACCTTATTTGTGAGATCAAAAGAAAACCTCAATATTTAATATAGGTAGCCCCCAAAAGGTGAACAGAACAGATAGATCTTATGTTTTGGCATTACATATATGTCTAATCCATCATCATTTTGCAATTAAAACAAAACAAAAAACCCACTCAGTATTAAGTATCTTAATTTCCTGTACATGTGAATAAAGTTCTGAAGCTGCTGACATAAAGCAGGAGAAGAGCAGCAAAGTTTGTGCATCAGCTCAGCAAAGGGAGCAGAGTGTACACTAAATATTCTTCCTGCTAAAAGGAAACAAATGCTGCAAAAGAATTTTAGATCCCTGTGTAGATAACCTGTGCTGTCTTTGCCATTAGTCATTTACTGTAGTTTTGAGAAACTGAAATCTTATGGAAGGCACTTTATTCACACACAAGGACTTCTTTTTGGACTAACAACAATCCCTGTTTTCAGCAGTTTTTGCTTTCCTTCTTAACCTGCATGCTCCCAATAATAGAACTATTTGTATTTAAAATAGTAAAGGAAAGAATATACTTATTAGTTAACAATAGAAGTAATCCAACAGTAACAAGACTGATTATTATTTCATGCCTATCAATAGATAGAGGAAATCAGCATAATGAGGTAATCCTATTTCTGCCATACCTCATTCATTAATATGAGTGCTTGTAATAATAATTTTAATAAAGTGTAGGAATTCATGGCAAGTGACATCACACACAGAAGTTAGGCAGTGCAAATACCCATGACTACTTTTACTCAGTCAGTTTAGTGTTCACAACCCTAAACCATTGCTTTATGAACAGGGCCAGCACTGACATTTGAGAAACAGTCATTAGAAAGAATGTGTGTTCTTATGCCTAAGGGCTGAGTGGCCTTGTTTTACTGAATTAATCTCCAAATTCTTGTGTGGAGATAAGAAGAAAGTAAAAAAATAGGTTTGAGAGGAAAAAAGGGGAATATGACATGGATGGAGGAAGTCAGAATAGGCCATTATTCAACAACCTCGGTTATGCATCAAGTTTGATACATAACATACAAATTTGATACATAACATACAAAAAGTTCAACAAGTTTACTGTAATATTTAAATTACTATGCAGAATATTCTAGCTTTGTTTCCAGACTATGTTGTTAGCAGGTACACTTTACAGCATCAGGCCTCTGCAATTTCAAATTACTTATTTTACTATGCACTGTACTCACTGAGATCTCCCTTTTCCCTCCAACCACCACTGCAACTGTCCATGCTTAAGACATCACCTTGTTGGATCAATTAAGGTTGATTCTAAACCCAAACCTCAGATTCTAAACAAAACTCAGTTCATGTTAAACACATGAAGGAAACACAAAAGAAAACAAACCCTTACCTCAGGCTTTTTCATGATCTGGATGCTGAACATATGGTTTTTCATGGGATAGATAACTATAAGAACATCACCAAATTCTGTTGGAATTATTCCTCTTCTATAATCTCGAGTATGTTCTGACCAGACAATGTGTACTTCATCATTTCCTAAATGTCTAAGCTGGAAAATCAGAGATAAAATGCCATCAGTTTGAACATTCTTAATTAATATCCTATAGCCATACAGCTATATTAAATGTACATATTTAAAAAGACAAACCCACTAAAAAAAAGTGAAGAAAAATTAGTAAAATAACCAAATTACTCAACAGTTATTTTACAATTTCAGTGTATTAGTTGACTGGTTTGTGCTATACATTTTTATAAACTGGTGGTAATTTCTATTTAAATTAACAGATATATGAATATCTGTTTCCTACTGGAAGCTAAAATTTTGTTGATAATTTTTCAAGAATGCAGAGCAGTTCAACCTGATCTACTAACATGTGTTCAAGATTGCCATCACAGACTGGGAGAAAATTAGTAAATTCTGTATGAACTTCTACAGTATATGAATGGAGATGTGTTTAAAAATACATATCTGAGAAGTTAACCTCATCATTCTAGCCGAATTCCAAACTGCCTACTACAACAAAAAAGCTTTTAAAGGAGAATAGCTACTGTATTCTCCATAGCTCCCAGAATAACTAAGATAAATGCTCATTTTCCATGAAACCAGGACACCTTTGTAAAAATAACACCCTGCTCCCCTACAAACTACAAAATGGTTCCTCAAAATCCATGCTGTATCGTCAGATGTAATCATATAACTAGATTAAGGAATTCCTTGAACACTCTGGAATTATCTGATTGAAGAACCAAAACACTCCCCCTGATAAACATTATCTTCTGATACCAAATGTTCACATCATGTAGAGAGGATTTATGTATACTGATCAAATACATTCAGATTATTAAATGTGAGACTCTTTTCAGTAAGAGTTATTTCTCAAAATTCAAACTGAAATATCTTTTTTATCTCCTAGTGCACCACCAGTTATTGACAATTGTCTTCACCCTCGTTCTCAGCTTGTTTCCACAGCTTTAGGTAGGTGGAACTTGTTAAACAATCACCTGGATGTCATTCAAAGGACTGCACTGTTCAACACGCAAACGCCACTCTGAGCATGTACAAGAAGCTATTCTATATAAAAAAGCAATAATTTGCCATAGCACTTTCAAAACCCAATTGCACTTTAAATAAAAGCAAAACACATGCACAGTCTTCAGAGAAATTTAATTGCAATTATTCACTTCTTTATTTTACAAAACCTCCTGGAATGCTACTTTTGTCTTATCTGAAGGCCTACACCAGTTGTCAGTAGCAGACTCAAAAAAAAAAGGCAAAAAAAGGCAAAAAAAGGAGAAAAAAAAGATAAAAAGAAGGTGTCTCTGCTCTTCTCTGTTAGCTTTAAATGGTATCAGACTGAAGAACAGGGTTATATTTCTATTAAAAAAAAGGATTTTCCTCAGTGTTGGACTGGGCAAAGGACAGGTGGCTTCAATACCCTATCTCTTCTTTGATGCTCAACAAGTAATTTGTTTTGTTTGGACCAGACTGTACATACATCTACTCTAAAATGGCTGTGGTGCCTTTGAAGCCAGCTGTTCTTGCCTCTTGGGTAGATGGCTGAATTACTTTGAACAACACTTATTTGGGGACACTCCTGCACCAACACTTAAACCCAACCCAGCAAAAGAACTCGTTATATCAACATTCACTACACTGAGCTTTATTTTACTGGGTTAGAATAAAGCCAGACAGCAACATGAATGGCTGAAGGAACAAACAGCAGTTGAAGGACCCCTGGATAGCACTTTATTATGACAAACACCATAAAAGACAATTAATTGCAAAACTGACCCTCTCCTAGAATCATAGAATCATTTAGGCTGGAAAAGACCTCCAAGATCATCAAGATGATCTGTTAACCTAACACTGCCAAGTCCATCACTAAACCATGTCACTAAGCACCACATCTACACATCTTTTAAGTACTTTTAGGGATGAAAACGCCACCACTTCCCTGGGTAACCTGTTCCAATGCTTGACAACTCTTTCTGTTAGAAGTTTTTCCTAATATCCAGCCTAAACTGCCCCTAGTGTAACTTGAGGCCACTTCCTTGTCCTGTCTCTTGTTACTTGGGAGAGCAGACTCACCTCCACATCCTTTCATGTTGTTATAGAAAGCAATAGTCAATAAGAGCAGTAAGAGAGTGACAAGAAGCAGACTTAGTTGTTTTTTTCTTTCCTGGCTATAGCTTGGAGGACTTGATAAGATAAACTCCAAAATACACAACAAAGAACCCTCCAACCCCTCCAAAATCCCCAGGAAGGCAACTTCTCCTTCTTACCTTTTAGTTTTGCAGCAAAACATTAATTAAAGAAACCTTGCACTGTGGCACCAGAGCAGCCCCTTCCATTGATCATCATCAGGGCAGAGTTCTATCTTCTAAGTTTATACAAGGCTCAGCTTCATTTCAGTCTCTTCTAGCATCACTGTCTAATAAATCATTACCCTTGGCCTCCTCTTCTTTGGTCACAGTTAACCAACTTCTCTCTTCAGGCATGAGATAATTTTTTTAATGGATCACAAACATGATCCAATATATGCCAGGTTTTTGTTTTAAATTCAGCCCATTTCATTGTACTGGTCTCATAGCCCAAGAAAACAACTTGATGGCACCTTTTCTGGAAGCATGACAGGAGTGGAAAGCAGGGTTGTCACATCTTAAACTGGCTACATCACCAGAGAAGTCAGTAAGGAATTGCACCTCAAATTAAAAAAAAAATTCCCATTTTGCTTCCTTAGCGAAGTGACAGTCAAACTAGCTGTTGAAACATGACAATGATAAGGTATCAGGGACTGACAGGCTTGGAAGGAAGTGAAAAGCTCAGGGAGAATGAGGCTGCACAGCCAAAGAGAAAGCATGTAGGAAAATCAGTTTGGACATGAAGTGTTGGGGAATGTAAAAAACCCACACGATCCTAGATTGAGGGATGGCCATCTGGAGCACTGACTGAACTCATTGAACCAACTGCCAAAAAGCAGAACTGGGGGTGATACACCATCACTGCACTGCACCACTGATAATTCAGCAAGACCAAACTATTAACTAAAAGAATTTTTCCTCCTTTACTTGCCATCTTTAGACTCAGAAACAATAAACTCACAGACTGTTAGAAACGAGTGATGGTGACAGTGTACATGCCAAATAAACAGCTTTAAAATCCAAAACATATAGAGAGTTTAGATACTGCAACTTCTTGAGGGCATCACTGCCTCTGAATTTCATTTGTCAAAGGTTGCCCCTGTACCTGAGATACTGACACCTGCAGTTAATCAGACAGGATACGAGTTCTTGCACTTTACCCAGTTACCCAGATGGATGGAGCATCACTACTGATGCATGTTTTCACATTAGACTGAAACAGATTTTGCTGTGATAAAAGTGTACTGTGTGGTTATTTCAGCAGGATTACTGACAAGGGACACATATTTTTGGATGCCATGTGTACTGAAGCCATCAGCGACCTTTCTTTCCAATTTCAAAGTTTGCTTAATACTCAAATATACATGTGAGAATACATTCCAGGCTGAAAGCAGAAACTTCTTCAGAGGAAAAGAAAAATGTATCAGATTATTTCAGAGTTCCAAGTCCTGTCAAATGTATTTCACCTCATGATTACTGTCACGAATGGTCTGGCAATGACCCAGTTTGAGTAAAATGTAGAATGGCATCTCTGTGACATGTAATGGATTAAGAGTCAATATCAGAGAATGTAGGTAGGTGGATGATGCTATAAAGTATAAACGGTGGTATATAACAAAAAGAGAAGGACTCAGGATCAAAACCTTGTTTCTATTATAGGTGGTCAGATGTCTGACAAAAATAATAGACAAGAAAACAAGGGTTTTTTCAGAAGAAGCTCTGACAGTACTAACACAGTGCTCCTTATAGTTTCTTTCAGATGTCCTCACCTTGGTCAGCAAGAAAAGCTTCTGAAAAAGCACAAATGGTGGTAACTTGACTCATCAACAAAACTTGATTCATGGAAGAGACCTGATACCTGAAATTGACTTGAAAAGCTTTTCTGGCCTATTTCATCTGCTAAGTTTTGCATAAACCTTTTAGAAAGCAGAATTTTAGATTTCTTCTCAATTTTTCATTTGAGAACCTTGAAATCCAGCAGTGCTGAACAACCAAGATCTCCTGCAAGCACAGCAAACATTTTGAGAATCTATCATTCACTGCAATTATTACACCACAGGAGAACCAGAGACTGACCTCTTTCAACTTTAATCTGGATTCTTTATTTCTTTGTATTGAATTGGTTGCTTCACTGAATTCAGTGCCCCGGACACAAGTAGGAAAAAGATACTGAGCTACAACTACCTCTGCTCATTGAAACCTTAAGGGCAGAAAAAAACATGATTTCCCAAGAAGGTGTGGTCCCAGCGTGATCTAACAAAATGGTGCACACAGAATGGACAGCTGTCAAGACTGAATTCTGTTTTAATGGTTATTCCAAACTCACCACCAGTTGTCTTCACACTTATTTCCCGACCTTGTTTTCCTGAATTTACAGGTTATGTGCTTACATCACAGTAAGCCTAACAAAGTACCAGAGACATAAGTCACTGCAATAATAGAAATAATCGAAAGTCCTAGAATAATGTTATACTTTAAGCTGGTGATACACTGGAAACACCTGGAATTCTAGTTTACACACCAGTATTCTAACAACTCTAAATGCAGATCACACTGCCCTAGAGAGTTATTATCTAAGCATAAGACATGACACAAACGTGGAGATGGACAAATGCAAAGCAGCTGTTTTACAAATGTAAAAAGGTGTTAAAGATTAGAAAAATGTTGTTTATACCAGTATTCTTCAAGAATGACAGTATCAAGACCAGAGAAAGGAAGGTTCAGCAATCAAAACAACAGTTTATCATATAGAGAATAAATTTTAATTGTGTGCATGGAAAGGCTACATTGGAAGAAACATTAGGTGGGAAAAAGAAGAGTCGTAAGCACAGAATAAATGTAAGAATCCAGAAAGTGGACCAAATTAAAGATGATTTCAGGCTATTGGGCACAAGTGACAGGCACAAT